GCTCCATCTGGGGGCAAACAATCCCCAACAGACCTCAGGCTCAGTGGCGACAATTAGACTTGCACCACAGCTGAAAGGGACCGAGGGGTAATGCTCGACCATTGCATGAACATGAGCCAGCAGTGCCATGCTGTGGCCCGCAGGGCAAACACCATGCTGGCATGCATCAACCGTTGCATCTCATGCAAAACTAAGGCAGTGATATTTCCACTGTAGTCCTTTCCAACAAGGACATGGAAAAACTTGAGAGGGTCCAGGGGAGAGCCACCCATATGATCTGAGACTTGCAAGATGAGCCGTACGAGGAGAGGCTGAGGGACTTGGGCCTCTTCAGCCTACAGAAGAGCAGGCTGAGAGGGGACTTGGTAGCGGCTTACCACTATGTCAGGGGAGTACATCAAGGGCTCGGTGAACAGCTGTTCACCAGGGCACCCCGGGGAAGACCAGGAGCAATGGGTACAAACTCCTGGAAGGCCACTTCAGGCTCAAGTCCAGGGAAAAGTCCTCCACAGTCAGCTGTGCAATAAACTCCCCCAGGGGTGGTGCAGTCGCCTACCCTGGACATCTTCCAAAGGAGACTGGGCGGTCACCTCGCTGGGGTCACTTGGCCCCAGTCGTCTTTTCCCGCCTACCGCAGGGGGCTGGACCCGATGATCTACCAGGTCCCTTGCAGCCCCTGACATCTATGAATCAAATCTGTGATTCTATGAAAAACTGCCCAACCCCGAGAGACACCTCCGTAACAGCAGTGTCAGGAGCACGCGCGCCCCACGCGTAGCCGGGCCCCTCACAGATGCCCCAAGTGCTGGCACAGCACGCAGGCCCAGGCACGATGCTCTCGGGGGCTTGGTGGGCCGGGGCGCGCCAGCCTGCCCGAGCTGGGCTCGAGCAGAGACAAGGGCATGCCCTGGGCAGGGCTGGGGCAGACCGGCTCCGGTGCTGCCAAGTCCAAGGGGCCGCCTGCGACAGCAGCACTCTTGGAACGAGCTCCCACGCACCTGTCTGCTCAGCACTTTCCTTTTCTTCTAAACCTGGCGCTGCTCTGCCACCTGCTTCCCTCCTCCGTGGCGCGTCACCTTCCTCCTTCCTCGCCTCTGGGTCTTGCGCCACGGGTCATTTGGAACGTGCTAGCTGGGGGCACGAACAGGAGATTCCCCCTCCCTGAGCAATCCTGCTGAGCCGCGGCACCGTGCCCCGGGCTCGTGGCGGGGCCTTGGCCCCCGAAACCAGGCAGGAGGGAGCGCTGCGGACCTGGAAGCGGGACCGGGGCAGTCCTGTCCGAGAGGCCGAGCCAAGGCCGGGCCAGCGGGCTGGATGCCCCCGGCCTGCTCCAGCCTGGCCGCCCCGGTCCTCGCGCCCTGCGCGCCCCACGTTGCCGCCCCCCTGCACGGGGCTGAGCCCCCTTGGCCGGTGTGGCTCACTGGCAGGGGCAGGGTGCAGGGGTGCCCCCCTCCCTCCCCGGCGTGGCGGCACCCCTGCGCCGGGCGCCAGCTGGAGGAAGCGCCCAACTGACAAGCGAGCT